CCAAATCATGAACCCGAAGCGCTGTTGGAAGGTTCAAACCACATTTTTAGTTACCAAACGGACTCCGATTTTGACGAGCTCATACTCGAATCGAACAGCTCGACGAGACGAATCCAACGAGCCCAAGATCACTAAATTCCGACATTACTAAGGCATTCAAATGACCAACGAACTGTGCACGATTGTAGGATTCAATATCGGTCGTCCATTCAACCACTCCCTATTCGCCCCTGATCTCACACCTATTTACGGACCTTGCCACTCCAGAAAATCTATAAATAGAGCCCTCATTTCTCATGAGAGGGGATCCAAGCAAGAGAAGCAAGAAGAGAAGGAGGAAGAGAAGGAGGAAGCTCCTCCTCGGCGGCCGCCGGACAACCGCCGAACCACCGCAGAAGTCCTGCCGGACCACCGCCGAAACCTCGTCGGACCACCGCAGGAACCTCCCCGGACCACCACCACCACCAGCCGAAGCCTCGCCGGGAGTTTCATTGCACCGATGCCTTAGGTCCCGACGTTCAATCCCTACGTTTCTGAGACTACGTTGTGAAGGACCCATCGTCCCGCTTAAAGGCCGACGTTTAGTCCCTACGTCTTGCTGAAGACTCGACGTCCCGCTTAAGGGCCGAACGTTCAAGTCTCTAACATACCTTGAGAAGGCACTGACATACCTGCTTAAGGCCCGACGTTCAGACCCCGAACGTCCTACTCAAAGGGCCAGACCATCAAAATCCGATCTTCCAAGTGACACTGGGTCTAACACCTGAACTCCTTGTTCCTACGCTCCTAACGGTCCTTCTGACCTCTGTCGCCTACTACGGTCCGTCCCGACCTCCATCACAGACAAACGGTCCTTTCTGACCTGCGTCTCTTTGCCGACTACGTCCTTTCGACGTTCGTCGCCTACTACGGTTCCGTTCGACCTCCATCAACAGACAACCGGTCCCTTTCCTGGACCCTGGTCTCTTCTGCGTCTACGGTCCTTTCGACCTCCGTCGCCTACTACGTCGCTTTGACCATCCATCAACAAACAAATGGTCTTTCTGACCCCGGTCCTCCTGACCACTACGGTCTTCCGACTAACAAACAATGTATATGGTAACTCCTACATGTTAATGCAATCTATAGTTGCTACATCAATACAAGGCCTTCCTCCAAAGGAAGGGCCTCATTTGTAATACGACTGCAAATACTATGGTTCATCCCAAACTGGGCCAGGCCCGTGGTTTTCCCCCTTTTCACGCGGGTTTTTCACGTAAAAAACTCTGGTGTCTCTTTATGAATGCTAACCCTCTCACTTATCTGCTTGTGTGTCTGGATCTCGTTACAATGCTAAGACGTTAACTAAATATTTCTCTACAGCTGCAGAAATACTCCAGGATGCAAACAGTTTTGGCGGCCGTCTGTGGGAACCTAGTTCCGACTGGGGGCAACAAATTTTTGCTTCCAACCTTCAAAGTATTTCAACTGCTATATGATGCTTCCATGTTATTGGAATCAAATCCGGATTGGGGGGGCAGGCCTTGCTATAATTTTAGTCCAGAAGATCTCTCAAAAACATTATATCAAGATTATATAAGGAAACTTCCCTAAAAAATGCAAAGAAGCTTCGCGATTAAAATTTCAAAACCATGTTAACACTTCGTTCTGGGACTTCTACTCCCTTGGGCAATGGTCTTGATTCAAACCCATAAAAGGAGTAATGGTCCTAAAGATAGACTACTTCTTTAACCTTTGATCGGGATACACGTGGCAATACCCCTCTCCCAAATCAAGCCAAAATCGATCCCAGGGGGATCCGATTCCGACCTCTTCCAACAAGGTTAACGTCGTCGAGCAAAGGCCTCCGGACATAAACCCGGATAGGTTCTTACAATCTTGGGATTTCCTCTACCTCTTTCCACACAGGTTTAAAACTCGTCGAGGCAAGGCTCCGACAATACAACCTCGGGAAAGTGTCCTTACAATCCTTGGTGGTTCCTTCAGCTTCTTCCACACAGGCTTAAACGTCGTCGAGCAAAAGCTCCGACATACAACCTCGGAAAGGTCCTACTCCTTGGTGGATTCTCCCGGCCTCTTCCACACAGGTTAACGGTCGTCGAGCAAAGACTCCGACATAGTACAACTCGAAGGTCCTACATATCCTTGGTGAGATTTCTCCGACCCTCTTCCACACAGTTTAAACGTCGTCGACAAAAGGCTCCGACATACCAACCTTCGGAAAGGTCCTACATCCTTGCGGGATTCTCCCAGACCTTCTTCCTACATAGCGTACGGTCGCTCGAGCAAAGGCCTCCGATATATCAACCTCGGAAAAGGTCCTTACATTCCTTTGGGTGGATTTCGCCAGCCTCTTCTACACAGTAGTTACGTCGGTCGAGCAAAGGCTCCGACATACAACCTCGGAAAGGTCCTAAATCCTTGGTGGGATTCTCCCAGCCTCTTCCACAACATGTTAACAGTCGTCGACACAGGGCTCCGACATACAGACTCGAAAAGGTCATACATCCTTGGTGGATTCCTCCGACCTCTTCCACACAAGGTTAACGTCGTCGAGCAAAGTCTCCCGACATATCACCTTGGATAGGTCTTACATCATTTGGTGGGATCCTATATCGATTAACATCATCAAGAAAGGCTCTGACAAAGGAACCTCGGATAGATTGATACATCTTGCGTTTAAACGTCTCAAGAATGTCCGTCAAAATGGACTTCTGCACAAAGTTAAAAATTCTACACGGTTTTAAATTTCTCCTGTCGCTGAACTTTTGCCTTGCAGCACTTTCCGACGGACTAATACCTAGACGCAGAATTCTTCCTGTCTTGGACTAATACCCTTCCGTCGCGACTTCTGTCTGTCGATGAGACTTCCAATCGGTCCTTCTGGCGAGGCCGTACTTCTTACACAGACGTCGGACCTTCTCCTTGTCGTCGAACTTCTGCTCAGTCAGCAGAACTTCTTACTCGTCGTCAGACTCAGCCCGTCGACGAAGGTTTCATATCGGTCTTCTGTCCGAGGCCGTTACTCTACCCAACGTCGGACTTTCTGCCATGTCAGTCGGACTTCTACTTGTCAGCGGACTTCTAACTGACGTTCATGACTTGCTCGTTAGCAGACTTCTAGTCGTCATCAGACTTCTCGCTGTTCGACGAAACTTTCGTAGGTCTTATACCCGACGTTGTACTTCTACCACGACGTCGGAGTTCTGCATGTCGTCGGACTTCTGCTTGTCAGCGGACTTCTATCTCGACGTCAAGAACTTTCTGCCTCGTTAGCAGACTTCTACCTCGTCATAAGACTCTCGCTCGATCGACAAAACTTTTCGTAGGTCTTTCACACCCGATGTTCGGACTTCTGCATTGTGCGCCGGAGCTTTGCTTGTCGAGCGGCTTCTACTCGACGTCAGACTTCTGCTCGTTAGCAGACTTCTGCTTGTCATCGACTCTGCTCGTTAGCAGACTTCTACAGTTCGTCGAGACTTCAGCCCGTCGATTGAAGTTTCATCGGTCTTCTGTCCGAGGGTCGTACTTCTACAATGACGTCGGACTTTTCTTGGTCATCGCAACTTCTGCTCGTCAGCGGAACTTCTACTCGTCATCAAACTTCTCCTCGTCGACAAACATTAATCGGTCTTCTGCTCAGAGGCCGGTACTTCTAATGACGTCGGAAACTTTCTCCTTTCGTCGAACTTCTGCGAATAACTTCTGACTCGTCGTCGACTTCTACCCGTCGATGAACTTTCATCGGTCTTCTGCCCAGGCCGTACTTCTTACACGACGTCGGAGACTCCTCCCTGATCGTCAGAACTTCTGCTCGTCAGCGACTATACTACTCGTCGTCGAGACTTCTCGCGCCGGTCGACGAACTCTTCATCGGTCTTCTGCCCCCAAGGCCGTACTTCTAATAACGAGTCAGACTTCTCCCTTCGGTCAGACTTCGCTCGTCAAGCGAACTTCTACCTCGTCCTCGGACTTCTGCAGTCGACCAAACCTTTGTCGGTCTTTCTATCCCGAGTGCACTCTACCACTTCGTACTTCTACCGGATGTCGACTTCTACGCAGTTAATAGACTTTCATCGGTCTCTGCCCGATGCTGTATGAACTACCCCGACATTGAATTCCTACCATTGTCATCATACTTCTCCCTTGAGCCTGGAAGTATACCCGTCATTTCAACTCCCTCCTTACAACGGATCTCTCTCTGACCTCCATCTCCAACCAACTGATTAACAATCAGACCTCCGCTAGGATCTCTTCGAAAGAAGAGAGGGGCCTCGAAAAATCAAGGGAAGGCCTCAATAGGCAAGGACGAGGGAGAGGAGAAGAGAAGAAGGGGAAATCTTCCGGACTTTCCTCGCCAAGAGAGGGGCCTCAAAAATCGAAGAAAGCCTCAATAAGCAAGGGGACAGAGGGAGTTGGGAAGAGAAAAAAAAGGGGAAATCCTCCGATTTCCTCGCCAGAAGAGGGGCCACCGAAATCCGAGGGAAAAGCCTCAATGCAGGACAGAGGGAGAAGAAGAAAGAAGGGGAATCCTCCCGGACTTCCTCGCCAAGAGAAGGGGCCCTCGAAAAATCGAGCGGAATGCCTCAATAGAAAGAAAGAGGGAGAAGAGAAGAAGGGGAAATCTCCGGACTTCCTCGCCAAGAGAGGGGCCTCGAAAAATCGAGAAAGCCTCAATAGCAAGAACGAGGGAGAGGAGAAGAAAGAAAAGAAGAAAGGAAGAAGAAGAAGAGAAGAAGAGAAGAAAAAGGAGATAGAAGAGGAGAGGAGCAATTTTTCTTAAGGCCTAAGGGGCCCTATTTATAGGTTTTGAAGAAAATGGAGGGAGTTATTGGCCATTTTCGAAAATACTATTTTTTCTAAATTTTTTTTTGAATTTTTCTGATTTTTTTGGACCAAAAAGATAAAAAAGCGGCCTCTTTACACGAGCGGGCCCCAACCTAAGTCGGATGGCAGCGAATCGAACTAAAAAAAAAAAAAAAATTCGATTCGCGGACTCTTCACGCGGATTCGCTGCGCTGGGCAGCAACAGCAGGCGCACGAGCCCCACGGAAGGCCGACCCGGCCGGCCAGCCGGCGGCAGGCACAGCAAGCGGAGCTGGCCCAGCGCACAGCCGCGCAGCAAACGCGGGCCGAGTCAGCCCAGCCGCGGGTGCACCCAGCCCAGGCGCAGGCGCCCTCAGGCGCGGTCGCGGGCACAGCCCAATCGCGGGCGCGGGTTTCGCCGCAGGCGGCGCGTGCGCGGCCGCATTCAAGCGGGGCGGCCTGCCGGCCGGTCCGGCTGGTTCGGCTGCCCAGTCCGTTCTGGTCCCGTTTTTCACCCCCGGGGAAAGATCAAAATTCGATGTTTTTGGGGTTCGCCGAGCCACATTTTTCGACGTTCCGGACTCATTTCGACACTTTCGGAGCCATTTCAGACTCCTACATGCAAGATCAAATTCACTGAGTCACTCAGAAAAAAATCATCTAAAATTTTTTTAACGCATATTTTTCGGACTCTTTGAACTTTTCGATCGTCCGAAAATAGGGGGCAAACTGATACGGCATACAAAAATAAGGCTTGAATCGGGCACGAATCTTGAGGCAAAAGCTTTAGTTGGAAGAACTTTAAAAATTAATTCCGGGAGCACCCGAACTTTTGATTCAACAAAACCTATAGTCAAACTGAGCATCTCGAAATATGAATAACACGACACAAAATTCGATCCCAAATCCGAGCCCGAATGGGTCCAAAATCATGAACCCGAAGGCTGTTTTTGGAAGTTTCAAACCAACATTTTTAGTTTACCAAACGGACTCCGATTTTTGACGAGCTTTTTACTCGAAATCAAACGGCTTTGACGAGACGAATCCACGAGCCCCGATCACTAAATTCCGACATCCTTAAGGTATTCAAATGACCAAACGACGGTGCAGCGATTGTAGGATTCAATTCGGTCGTCCATTCAACCGCTCCCTATTCGCCCCTGATCTTCACACCTATTTACGGACCATGCCACTCAAAAAATCTAATAAATAGGCCCCTCATTTCTCATGAGAGGGACCAAGCAAGAGAAGCAAGAAAGAAGGAAGGAAGAGAAAGGAGAAGCTTCCTCTCGAACGGCCGCCGGAACCAAACCGCAGAAGTCCCGTCGGACC